AGCCGGCATTGGATTGCAGCTAGAAATACACAACGTCCACTTTCCCTAAACTGCGTGTGTCGGCTTGCAGCCCTGTAAGGGCAAAGTTTCCCCAACAATGCCTTAATGAAAAGAAGCAGAAGGTCTCTTCCCCCCAACTCCCCACGTTCGGCAAGTGAAAAAAAATGTTTATTAGATTACCTTCTTTCCGTAGATTTGGGAAATCCTACTGAAGACGTGGCCTGAATAAAGAGATAGGCGCACATGCCTGGTTAACAGCGGTGCCACCCGCACTGCATGATTTTTTAAAAACAGGGACGGGCTCCGTTAAAGTATGGTTAAAGCTGCACATTTTATGCATGTGATTAGTAAATGAATCGATTATCGTAGCCAATTAACAGGTGCTGTCAGGACAGTGTGTATGAAAGAGAGGGGAGCAGGGAAACCGTTCGCGTCACCGTCGGTTCTTGGGTTTCTAATCCTGAAACCCTGCTAGAAGTGCCGCTGGGGTGTGTGGTGCTGACAGCCGACTTTGACATGGCGGCTTCTTGGGTTTCTTGTGTCAGAGAATGCCCGGGTGAGCCGGCAACGTCCCATCACGGTAGTCCAGCTTCCCAAAGGTTGGATTCACCGGCTGTCGAGCAATAAGAGACGCGACGAACCAGGCCCTGTTCGGCTTTACATCCCCAGAACCCTAAGCAGGCTCATCCCCCTCGAGGCAACCACAGCGCAGGGCCTTTTAGGCAGGCAGCTTTCCGCCTCCCATACAGTACAAGGAATCCCTACGCACGCACGCAAGCACACGCCCGCACACACACACACACAGAGTGTATGTATTTCTATGGAGCATATTCTTGGGAAGCTGGCTCCATTGGAATGAAGGAGATATCAAGGAGGCCTGTCAGCTCAAAGCGTTTTAGGGGTTGTTTGAAAATCCTCTTCCCGTCAAAGTAAGCAGCCTTCGTATTTGAACAGCTGCTTTGAACAGTGATGGGCGGGAAGGAGAAGGGCTGAGCGGAATAAAAAGGGGGAAAGAAAGGGAGGGAAGGGGGAAAGAGAGAGGGGAGGGAGAAAGCAGCCTGCCCGCCCGAGATGCCGCCTCACCTTCAACCTGCCTTTTTTGTGTGCACAGAAAAGGGAAGAAAGGCTGCCAGGACCTCTAACCCGGCAGGATCAACTGGGAATGAAACGGGGGCGGGGTGGGGCAGACCCAGCAGCACTGCCTCTTTCACAGCCCCAGCAGTAGCAGTTCGGCCTCGAAGAAGCTCCCAGACCGGTCGGCCCGATCGGAACTGAAGGAAGGCCCTGGGTGGTTCTTTCCGGGCAGCTTTCCCTCGCCTCCGCGAGGCTGACCGCCAGCAAGGGTCCTTGGCTGCTTCCCGCAGCGGAGAGAGAAAGAGGCCGAGAGAGAGCCAGAGCGAGAGGGATGCTTTAAGAAACCGAATTAATGACCGGGAGAGGCTCGGTAGTGATGGGGACAGACCCAACACAGGGAGGCGGGACTTGGGCTGGACGCTCGCAGCCTTCTCCCCGCCGGGGAACCAACTCGGAAGGAAGATGCGGGTTTCTTTTCGGGGAGGGAGGGGCAGCGAGGTGACGGTGGGGCGGGGCTGCATGGAAGAAAGGGGACCGGGCTCCGACGGACTTGAAGGGGGGGGGGGCTCGTGGAGTTTGCTCTTTTCTGCTCCCCGTCCGGACCGGGTGTTGTGGTTTCTAGCGTGTGGTGGGCAGAAGAAAGTCTCCAATGAGTCGCCGCGCCGCGATTCACAGCGCTAGAAAAGTTAAGCCGGGCAACTTTCGTGCCTGCACGGGACCACCACGATTCACATTCCGATCGTGCGCGTGTTTACGTGGGAAGTAAGCCCCATTGCGTCCCAGAGGTTTCCCTCCCAAGTACTGATGCAGCAGAGGAGTGTACCATCGCCTCCCCTTCCCTCCCCAAACATCTTCCCGGCTGGCTGGCTTATAAGGCTAGAGAGGCTGTCTGCTATATGGCGCTTTCCAAGGCGAGAGAGCACGCGCCTGGCTTTCCTCTTCTGGGGAACCAAGAAGGCCGATTTCACCCAGCTAGTGAAGACTGAACTGGGAGGGAGCTTCTCATTCGCTTTTGAGTAACGCCTCGGGTGGCTTGGCCTCTGTCCAAAGAGACTGTCAGAAGTGTCGGAGAGAGACATGCCTAATGCGAGGCCGCAGTTCACCGCCCCCTCCCCCAAGTGGATTTCAAACCTGGCTCCAAAAGTTTTGCAACCACCCAAAGGTCGATTTGATACCGGGATACCTGCGGATGCCAACAGGGTAACTCGCGGTCCCCTGTCAACTGACAGTTCAGAACCGGACTTGCTTATTCAGCTGTGTTGATCTTCAATTTGGGTGCCTTTTGCCACTCCAGAGAAGCTGGTTAAACAAGCACACCCACTTCGGTACTTCTTTTTTTTTTAAGCGTTAAATGTTAATCCCCTGGCAGATTTCCACTCTGTACGCACTCATCTTTCAGTAGTATCAGTCTGTCTGGGGAAACGAGGTATAAGGTTGCTAGCGACCAGAAGAGGAAAGCAAAACTAACTTTGTCTCAAACTAGATATAACTCCTGAAACTTGACTAGGTGGAGGCAATGGCCTGGCCCTACCCTTTTGGATCCTTAGGCTGCGGTTCTAGAACACTTGACTTGAGCACAAGTCCGCCCCAACTCCAGGGGACTTACTTCCATAAAACATGCACAGGATTGCAAGGTGACATCTCAGACAGGTTGCCTTTTCCTTTGGGGAGTTTCAAGCCTCATTTTCTTGATTCTGCTCTCGAGGGAGGGATATAAAGCGTCACTACAGTCCCACCCTATGTTATTCCTGCATAAGCCCACTGAAATCAACTCTACCTAGGACTGAAAAGTTAAATGTGGAAGTTGAATAGGACTTGAATGAGTTTGGTTTCCCAATCTGAGAGCCGGCGAACGAAGTGCCATTCTGCACGCCCTTACTCAAAAGTAACTCTCCAAGTGAGACTGACTTCCAAGGAAATATTATGCAGAGGACCAGCTTGCAGTCGCTTTGCCACGGCTAGCCTTTTAACTTCGCCGGGTTGAAAAGTTGGACCTTTCCCCTCCCTCTTTGGAGGTGCAGTGTTTGTGCAACCTCTTTGTGTGTATGTTTGTGCGCACTGCCCCTCCTACCCAGAGAAATATTGCCAGCCAAAGAGCCTCCTCTAGGATGATGAATTACGAACAACTCTCGGAAGAAAGCTGCTTCTCGCTTATGGTCGTAAATTTTGCCTCCGCCCAGCGCAGCATCTCAAGTAAGAGAACTCAAGAGCGTCTGCCGTGTCCATTCTCTGACCTGGATCAGCCTGTTCTAAGGAGAACGCTCCGGCTTCTTCTCGGCTCGCTCACGGTGGGGGACGGAAGAAGCGCAGAGCGTTGCCTGGTGTTTTAGGAAGGCTCCCGCCAAAGCACACATCCCATAAGCCATCCTTCTTATTTCCACACAGCCCAACTTCAGCATCTGTCTTAAGCTTTCCTCTTTTTAGTGCTGCTCTGACGACCTGACCCTCCAGAGAGTTGGACCCAGTGGCCAGCCAGTAAAGATCCAGTTAGACCCATGGGGTGGCATCTGGGCTCAAGACCTACGTCGACTCACTCCGGCAGCCTTTAAAAGACATTTGAGTTTAAGTGGACCGCGGATCGGGCTGGATTTCTCTTGCCTTGCCCTAAGCTCCCATCAGAAGAACGTTTCCTTTTCGGAAGGAAGGAGGGAGGGAGGGAGGGAGGGAAGGAAGGAAGGAGGAAGGTCTGTAAACACACTGGTGGTCCCGAGGGAAGGAGAGCCTCGGCGAACAACGCCTGTTAGCTTTTGCCTCTGTGCTTTGCAAAGTGTTAAGCCCTGAACTTCTTAGCGAAGCCTAGTTTTGTTCTCAGGCAGCACCTGCTGCTGGGACAGTTCGGGGACTGGCGAGAGAGAGCGTCTCTCTCTCCCAAGGAAGCAGCAGCGCTTCCCCCAGCCCGCCTGCTCTCCCGTGCCAGCGTTTTTCTCCCCCTTCCATTGTGGAAGGGGGGCAGCAACTTTCCCTGGGATTGCAAAGGCCCAAGAAAAGGCGCCGGGGTGTGGCGGGGAGGCGGAGGGGGACGCCAAAGGTCGCCCGGCGCTTGAGGCTGTCGTGCTCGGGTCCTAGCAGGCGATGGGAAGCGTTTTTGCTTCCGAGGACAACGTGCCTCGGACGATCGGGCGGCTCCTCTTGCCGACCCGCCTCAAAGTGAGTCTAACAGCGTCGCCAGGCCAGTACTGCAAAACGTGTGAGCTCAAAGTTGTCCCCCAACAATCTCTGGCCGTTGCGTGAAAGCCGGCATCTGGGCTGGGGGCGAGGGAGGGGGAGAGAGGGGAACCCCCTCTCCAGGCAGCCAGGAGAAGAGTCATAGACTCCGGCAGACCGATGCTCCCGCTCCTGTCCCGTGCGCGGCGGCGGCGGCGGTTTCCGACCGAAAGGACGAGCCCCCCCCTCCTCCTCCTGTGCGGCTGGGGCGGGGGAGGAGTCCGTCCTGCGCCTGCAAACCCTTCAGTAACCTTTGGGAACAAAGCAAGCAACAGGAGAGAGACTCGCCTCAGTCCGCGTTCTACTTGCTTCCCCTGTAAACATAGACTGCTAAACAAAAAAACAAAAAACCGGGCGCACCCTGGGGTTGCAGCATCATCTGGTCTCCCCCACCCAGACTCTCCTCCTTAGAGTTTGATTACAAAGAGAGCGCGCGAGAGAGAGTCGAGCGGGAGGCAGGGCGGGGGGCGTGGTGTCAGCGCCAGGGCCGGGGCCAATGGGAGACTCCCCCTGCGCCGGTTGCTAGAGGTCTCCACGTAAATCAAAGCGCAGGGAGCCAATGGGGGCCGGAGGGAGGGAGGAGCGGGGACGCGTGCCTTTGCAGTGGGCTCTGCCAGGCGGACTTGCGGGGGAAGCGCGCGGCGAGAGGAGCCCGAGGCGAAAAAGTAGCTGTCAAATGCGCGGCTCCTTTAAGCGGAGCCCTCAGTCCGGCTCGGAGAGTCATGGCGACCACAGCGTCTAACCACTACAGCCTGCTCACCTCCAGCTCGCCCATGGTGCACGCCGAGCCGCCGGGGAGCATGCAGCCGGGCGCCGGCTACAGGGACGCCCAGGCGCTGGTGCAGGCGGACTACGCGCTGCAGAGCAACGGGCACCCGCTCAGCCACGCTCACCAGTGGATCACGGCGCTGTCCCACGGAGGCGGCGGCGGAGGCGGCGGAGGGGGCGGCGGCGGCGGCGGCGGCGGAGGGGGTGGCG